ATACAACAAGGAAAATTTTTGTGGAATTTCAAGTGGAGATGAAAATGTTAGCATTACATATGGTCAAGGTAAGAGCATGTATTTTTTTATTGGTTGTTCAAAACATTACAAAGCTCTTGACATATCATATTTCATACATTAGATTCAAGTTGGTTATGAACTCCCATTTTTACCCCAATTACAGAGTGCAGAATCACATCGGTTACACATCCACATTTTTACATGATGCCATATTCGTGACTATTGTATTCTGCTACCTTTCCTATCCTCTATTATACCCCCTCCCCTCCCCTCCCATCTTCTCTCTCTACCCCATCTACTACAATTCATTTCTCTCCTTGTTTTTTTCCCCATTCCCCTCACAACCTCTTATATGTAATTTTGTGTAACAATGAGGGTCTCCTTCCATTTCCATGCAATTTCCCTTTTCTCTCTCTTTCCCTCCCACCTCATGTCTCTGTTTAATGTTAGTCTTTTCCTCCTGCTCTTCCTCCCTGCTCTGTTAAGAGCATGTATTTTGAACTTGTGCTAAAATATCAGTTTTCAAATTTAATGTTGTATAGGGATTGATAAATAATTATGTATTCTCATATTTCCAAAATATTTCTATACATTCCTGAAATCCTAATATCAAATCATTCTTTTATCATTCAAGAGGGAGAAATAATTTAATAAAATGCCCAGATATAATGAATTTTCTAAACTTTTGTTACCTTTTTTAACAAAGAAAATCTCTTTGCCCTTCTGCTGACTCTATTACATATACTTACTTTTTCCCCTTTGCACTTAGTTTTTGATAGCATAGGGCTTTACATAGAATTGCAGATTGCCAAAGTTATGCTAGTAAAACCTTATTTTAAATTACTCCTTGGCAGTTGATTTAACTAAGAGTATGATCTTTGGAAAAGGATCTGGTTGAAATTCTGGTTCTTCTTTAACTAAATGTATGATCTTGAAAAAAACTTCTTCATTTAATCTAACTTTCCTCAACAGAGCAATGGAATTAAGATTCCTAACTCAATGGATTGTTGTAAGGATTTAATGAGGCAATGCACATAAAATTCTTGGCAGGATAATCCCATAATATGAGTTAGCTAACATGATTTTAGAAGCTGGAGTAGTTTATGCTATCCTGTGTCCTAATTTTTGTTCTGTGTCCTCCCCTAATTTTTCAACATCATAAAGACATCTTCCAGAACCAGCCATGTCTTTTTCATCAGGGTGTATGCCTAATACATCATATGCCTGTTCATGTCTTCAGGCAAAGTTTTGTTCTACTTCCTTTTTTTAAACATATTCTCTTCAAAGGATACATAACTCCTCTAAATTTTCAGCATCACAAAAGGACTCCACGGAAGCTGTCCTTCATGAGATTTCTAGGAGATCTACCCTTCTAACCATGGTTTTAGAGTCTCCAAGAGAGAACAGAGGACTCACACTTGCTCTCAAGTGTCTTAGCTGGGAAGTGGCAGCATAATTGTCAGTTGCAGTCATTGGCAACAAATGATAACTCCACCCAGGTGAACTTTCAGGAAAGGAGGCTGGAACTTAGAGTATTCCTATGTACCTAGGCAGCAGAGGTCCTATCACAATGTAATTGGGGAAAAAAAGATGCTTAGGAAAAGAGAAGAAATTTAACTTCTAAAAAATCACAATGCCATTGAAATACTAACAGTCATCAAATAAAAATGAAATTTGGATTATTGTTTTCTGCAAAATGAAATCTTTAGTGACAGAGAAAACTAAATATGGAAAAATAGAACATTAAAATGAAAGGAAAAAAACCTGATTTTTGATCCTGGATTGGCTGCTATCACAAGTAAATTTAAGCATGGCACTAAATTTCTCATTTTCTTAAACTTTAAATTGATAAAAATAGTTTTTTTTTTCTCAGTGCACTTCACAGAACTGCAATGAGATCACAAGAAATCTTGAAAAGGGACTACTTTTATAGACAGATGGCATGGCAGAGACTGCCAGCTCCTTACATCTTCCCATGGACACAATTTGACCATATTTTCTAGCTTGCTTAGTTTCAGATGTGGTCACAAAGCAATGCTGGTCAACAGAATGTGAGCAGCAGCCACATGTACCTTTTATAGGTCAGGCTTTTGGAGAAGCTGCTGGGTCTCACTGTATTTCCCCTGCTACTGCTGGCTGGATGCAAAATAAAGTAAGACCTCAGAGGATGGTAGAGAGACAGTTGGGAGGAGCCTAAGTCCATGCCCCAGTAAGGGAAGCAGTGCTGCACCAGACAAGGTCACCTTCCTAGGACTGTTACATAAACAGGTGTGTCGTTGCATCATGCTTGAGCTATCAGTCTTGGGCAGGGAGGTCTAAATGTTCCTGCAGCTTCATACAGTACTGACTAAAATGATATTGACTATAACATGAATGGCACCCAGTAGTTTTCAATTAGTGCCTATTGGATAAATGGATGAAGAAAATACTTATAAATCCCATGCACTTTGGTGATGTTTTTTGACCATAATTCAATGCTGAGCTCAAATTAATATTTTTTTTTAAAAAAACTGACACCGTCTGATTTAACACATAGATAGAAATTTGTATTAATTCTAAGTGTTTTCAAATATCTGAATGTTTGATTTTGATATTTATGCTTAAAATATTATAAAATTTAGAGGAATTTATTTATCATATAAAATTACTTCCAAAATGTTATGTGTGCAGTGCTTTCAAAATATCATTTCAATATTGAACAAATTAAATTGAAATACTAGGTCATAGTGTTTAATTGTCATTATCACTTTTTTGCAGTCAAACAAATTTTGATGTTTTTGCAAGAGATAAATAAGCTTAAGCCAGAAATGACTGAAGAATGATACCTGATTCTGAATATTGTTTGTAACTGCTGATGTCTTCTTGTCCATTCTCCTCTAACATCATAAAGAAAAATGACTGTTTCTCACCAGGACTCCAATTCCCCAAGATATTTATATACCTGTATAATATTGCCAACTGAACAAACGGCTTCCTTCATATGTCTGTTCATATCTCCTGGCAAAGTTTTATCATTTTTCCTTTTTTTAATATGAAATATATTCCTTTCCAAAGATACATACTTTAGTGGATAAACAACTTTCATGGGGAGAACATGAAAGACAACTATTTAACAAGTAGAGTTGGAGTCATGAGGTGTGGAATCATAGTAAAAAATATTTTGCAATGATACCAACACTAATAAAGATCATGCCATTTTCATGATTAGCTATGTTTTTGTAAAGGGAAATTAATGGATGGTACTATTCAGTCTAAATGATGTATACAACATGCTGACAGACAAAATTGGTTTTCTGCCTAAAGTGGATATATTACACAGACAGTATACTCATGTGCCTAACGTCTCTGTGTACATTTTTATGCATGTTATTCATCTAGTATTTTCTTTGTACCTACAAGTTGGAATGCACTCACTTCATATCCTATTATAACCCTTTTTAGTTGCATTTCTGTCAGGTTCCACTTACTTATGCACTGTTGAATAAATCAGTGGTTAATAAATGTTCTTGGAAATGTGTCTTGAGATAAATAATGAACGGCACTATCTAACCATAAATGTACATCAAATACACATTTTTACTCTCAGAATCCTAAAAAGAAAGACAGTCTCACCTATTATGTACATACATGGGAAAAAAGAGAAATAATTACAGAGCAATCATGTAAAAGGAGACTGACTAGTTTATGATTCTTGAATGGATAGAGTGAACCTTTCTATCATAAGTGCATTTTGTCACAACTCCAAGGCCTTGGGGTGTGAGCCCAGGCCCACAGCATGTAAAGCTGCAGGACTCAGGACTCCAGCCCTTCTGGGCCACCCTCTCGCAGGTAGTACTGGAGCTGACCACACATTTTTAATTTGCAGTAAGATGGTCTGACAAGCAGATTGTGAAGATGGTAGAGGTGAAAGTACAGATAAAATGCTGATTAAAAATATATTCACCTTGAAAAATACAAAGAAGACATATTTAACAATATACAGGGATTATCTATTGAATGATGAGAAGCATATTATTGCTTCCTTCTTGGTAATTTTCACAGTCCCCTTTAGATTCTATTCCAAATTTTCCATAATCCAGTATTTATATAAATCTTACATCTAAAATACTTTATACAGCACATATCTTATAAGTGTCAGCCTCTCACCTCTCAAAACTTCTTGCTATGCAGCAGGTTTTCGGGTTTGTTTTAAAAATCTTTCCTGCAGGTGATCCTTTAGCAATACTTTGAAGTATCATCCCTATTAAAAGTGAAGAGGGTTCTGGGGTCTTCAGAAACAATGAGACAGAATGGCTATTATTTTGCATGTTTCTGATAGAAAGCTAACTGTTTAAAAATTAAAAATATTAGAACACATGTGCCAAAGTAGAACCAAAAAAAAGAAAACAAAAAAGCACAAATAAAATTTGAGAAGTAAAAGGGGCCATGTAAAGTCTTGCTAAAGTTCCGTGTTTTACATAAAGCTGCAGTTGAGACTTCACAAAGGAAATCTCTGCACTTTTTATTTCTGGTTCAGAGGATTTACATGCTCTTTCTAATGATCTGGGCCTTCAGTACTGGGTAATGTCTCCCAGTCCCCAGCTTAGCACTCATGCAAAATTGAAGCACTTTGGAGGCAGTTTAGTAGCTGCAGATGAATCTCAATGTGCAGGAAAAGGCATAATGGCTGTTTAGCACTTGCTAGGAGAAGCTGAGGAAATCAGGGGGAAAAATCTATTGAACTTAAGCCATCTGGGAAGCTAACTGAGAGCGGCTGCATTAACAACGTGTTTACATTCCCATTGTGTTGCTAGGCCAAGCAAAAATAAGTGTGTGAATGTGTGTGTGTGTGTGTGTGGGTGTGTGCTCATGCACTCACATAGGCACTCACATGCGCACAGGCGTGGGCAGAGGAAATCATGAAGTGCAGCCCTTTGATTGTGTTAGCTCTTCTGGTTTGGCTCTGGCAACTATGTGGGGAAAGAATTTGTATGTGAAATGTGGCCCTGAGAGTTTTCCCGTCTCCACGAGACAGGATGATGGTTACAGTGCAGGGGTTGGCAAGGACACGGTGGGCATGAGGAAAATGAGCTGTACACAGAGCCTGGCTGAGCAGTTCTTTTCCTGTCTCTGGCTTGGAGTGCGACACAGCAGATTGGGGGAAGCTTCAGAAAGCTGGTAAAGAACACCAGGGAATGCTTTCATTGCCTGCTACATTGATATTTAACTTAGAAATACCGAACAAATGAGGAAAAGCAGCCAGGTAAATAAATGCGTTTCATTTTAACCCTCACCAATCCTACTCACTGTCTTCACCAGCATGTCCCTTTCATCTTGTCACATTAAGGGATGTTTTCTTTTCTTTTTTTGGTACTGGGGATAGAATCCAGGGGTGCTTTGACACTGAACTAAGTCCCCAGTCCCCTTTTATATTTTATTTTGAGACAAGGTCATGCTAAGTGGCTGAGGGCCTCCCTAAAATGCTGACGCTGGCTTTGAACTTGTGATCCTTCTGCCTCAGCCTCCTGAGTTATTGGAATTACAGAGGGGTGCCACCATACCTGGATAAGTAACATTTTTCTTGTAGATGCTTGGGGACACAAGTGGGCTAAATGGTGGTCCCCTAAAAGACGCGTCCACATATGAATCCTTAGGATCTATGAATGTTACCTTGTTTGGTAAAAAGGTCTTGGCAGTGGTCATCAAGTTAAGGATTTTAACTTGGGATAAGAAGACTATCTTGGAAGATCCAGGTGAGCCCTAAGCCTAACAGTAAATGTTGTTGTAAAAGACCCACAAAGAAGACAAACATGGAGTATGGGACAATGTGAAGATGGAGGCAGCCACCAGAATCAGAAACAAACAAGGAATGGGTTTTATCCTGGAGTCACTAAGAGAGGGAGTATGTGTGACTCTGCGGAACTTCAGACTTCTGGTCCCCAGAATTGTGAGAAAATTTCCATTGTTTTAAGCCACCACATCTGTGCTAATTTATTGTGGCAGGTCTAGGAAACAAACACAGTGACTAAGGGCATTTACTGTCTGTCTCCACATTCAAAGACTGGCCTCAAGAATCTGACAGAGGAAAAAGGTGAGGAAAATCTGTCTGCCATGCAGTGTTTTTCTGGTTTCACAAATGCTCCCAGAATGGGTGTGGGGAGGCAGCCTTCTAGTCACTGACATCACCTCATACAGAGGGCTTCATTGTCAGGACCATCCGGGCTGGAGTTATACAGAGGCTTGACATTCAGTCCCTGCCATCCCTGGAGTAGCCTTCGACAGAAGATCCTTTGGGTGTTTCCAACTTTATTTTCACTCACTAAAGCTCCGGGGTACCCCCACTTCCCTCAGAAGGCTGCAATCCCTCAGTCTGAGCAGTTTAATAGGCAGAGACAAGGGGAAGGATACTGAAGAAAGCAGGGGCTCTGTAACATGTAACTCCACACCACAGAATTTCCAGGGATGGAGATGTTCCTGTACTTGTTTATTCTCAGAATAAGAGGAGAATCAAGTAAATGGTAAAGCAGACCTTTTTCTTCTAACTTCTCCTTGGCCTCTTTTGCTCTCTCTAGATGGGGCTCTCCCGTAGTGCAGTCATCTCCTTGGTGATATCTATGCTTACAGCACCAAGCCAAGTGGCTGGGTCATGGTTTTTGAACACAATGTCTAGGTCCTCCCTGTACCCTACTTTTACAACACAGTGTCTCTCTCATGCCCTGTTTGTCAAGCCTGGTGGTACCTTAGCATTACTAGAGAGTTTAAAGCAAACAAACCAACCAATCAACCGACAAAGGAAATGCTATGCTCTGTTCCCGACTAAATCATTACCTTTAGGGTTGGAGCCAGGACATAGGTGTTTGCAAACCTCTCCCCTGGTGATTGTCAAGTGCAGCCAGGGTTGACAGTTCCCTGCCCTAATAGTTTCTTGTTGCTCTTGCCTTCATATCCTGGGGAATGTCTTCCAGAACAGAATTTTTATAATCAGGTTTAACCTCAATAAAATTAGGAACGAGTCCAAAATTTCTCAATTCTGAATTGTTCTTCATTGCTAGATGTTATACTTCCCATGTGCTATGCTTACATTTTTTGCCAGATACCCTGATATTTGGCAAATTGTAGTGTTCATGTAATACATGCTGATTTTGTGTCTCCAAATGTGCTTTTTCAGAGGATCTGGCAAGAATGGATATTTCAACAGGCATCCCAAGAGGGCTCTGAGAATCACTAGCTAACGGATGACTCAGAATTGATGGTATGCTGCAGAGAAGATGAAAGGATCCAGGACTAGTCAAGTTCTCCTCACTCAAAGTTTAACGTTATATTATTCATGGATTGTAGGGTTTTAAAACTCAAACAATACTCTATTGTGTCTTTAAAGATGTGAAAATATCTTGGAGTGAGGAGAGAGAAAATAGTATTAGGATTTTGAGCAAATTATTGATAGAATAATGGGTATTAAGATTCAGTGATGGGGGCTGGGGTTGTGGTTCAGTGGTAGAGCTCTCGCCTAGCACTTGTGAGGTGCTGGGTTTGATCCTTAGCACCACATAAAAATAAATAAAATAAAATGTATCATGTCCAACTACAACTAAAAAATATTAAAAAAGAAAAAAGATTCAGTGATATACAACCAGAGAAGTGAAAAATTCTGCTCCATTTGTGTACAATGAATTGAAGAGATTTCTAATGTCATGAATAACTGATTAGACCTAATTAAAAAAAAAGATTTGATGATCCAAAAAATCAAATCAAATGGATAAGAATTTGTGACATCACAGAATAGAAAAGGATAACAGTCTACATTGTACTTTGCATATGAGGTGTTCTCCAAAGCCTCCTGTCAGTGCAGGAATATTCAGAGGCAAAATGATTAGATTATGAGAGCTGTAACTGAATCTGTCCATCCTTGTTTGAAATGGACTGACTGGGTGGTAATGTAGGCAGGTGGGACATGACTGAGGGAAGTGAGTTTCTCAGGATGTGCCTGTATGGGTTGTTCTTCCCTCATCCCCTTCCTTTTTCTTTGTTCCTGACTCCCATGAGCTGAGCATCTTTGTTCCTCTGGGCCCTTCTGCTATAATATGCTGCCTCACCTTGGGCCCAGAGCAATGAAGCTCACCATCTGTGGACTGAGACCTCTGAAAACATGAAGCCCAAATAAACTTTGTTGTTCTTTTCAGGCATTTTGGTCAGAGCTACGATGAAGCTACTAAAACAGCCATTCTCTCATCAGGAGCTACCAAGTTTATTTACACATTAACACGATTGTTCCAGACACCTAAAAAAGAATAAAGTTGAGGACAAAAGATAAGCTCTTTAGGAGGGTAAACTGCCATTTAAGCTGAAATTGTTTCATAAAACAACCTCTATAAACATGATGCTCAATCTGTTTCACATATAATTCAAAATTCTCTTAAAGGGCTGGGGTTGTGGCTCAGTGGCAGAGTGCCTGCCTAGCATGTGTGAGGCACTGGGTTTGATTCTCAGCACTGCATAAATTAATAAAATAAATTGACAACTAAAAAAAATGTTTAAAAAACTCTGTTAAATACGTCTTTTCTCCCCCATGAAAATAAAGTAGGAGAGATCCTTCTTAAATCCTTCTCATATTTTTTCCAAAGGTTAGATTAAAAAAAAATACACCATGGCTTTTTAACAATTGTGCTATTCTCACTTTGAAGTGGGCACTTTAAAACTCTAAGCCACAGCGTATGCATGGTTGCTGGGCACACGCATAATTGCCATAGCAACACAATTACTAGTGTTGCTCTGAAATGCCCTGTTTGGGCAGCAAGTAATCTAGATGAAGAATGTCCTTGGACACCTGCTTCTTATTGTAGCCTCTGTATTGGCTTGAGGGTGGTCAGACTTGGTTCTCTCTTTTTCTGAATTTGGGGACACACACACACACACACACGCTTACATATTTACTCACATGCATATTCTTGACTAAATTGTATTAATCAATGCTTTCATTGATTTCATTGTGGCAAGAGGAGGAGAAACACATTACAAATAACCTTGCCCTGCGTGTTGATTGAAAGGGGGGGGGTTCTTTTGTGTTCATTATGTTCAAACTCTAGCTATTTGTAATTTTAGACAATTTCGGCTTTCCCCTAATAAAATCTAGCTTGCTAAAATAGCACTGAATAGTGTAACATTTTCTTATCTTTACTTTTCATTCATGTTCTAGGCCATATCTGTTCAATAAGTACATACTATTAAAATTTTCTATCCAGTATTCAATGTAGATATTTAAAATATTCCTCATGAGGTTGGGCATGGTATTGCACACCTGTAATCCCAGTGGCTCAGGAGGCTGAATCATGAGTTCAAAGCCAGCTGCATCAACTTAGTGAGACCTTGTCTCAAATTAAAAAATGAAAAAAGGGCTGAGGATGTTGCTTAGTGGTTAAGTACTCTTGGATTCAATCCCTGATGACAGCAACAACAAAAAAATCCGCAAGAGATATAAAGATATAATTAAATTAAAATTAAATTGTTCTGTAAATACAATGTAATTAGGGTGTTTAGGCATATGTGCAAGCTCTATAATATTGATATTTGCAAATATTGGGACTGCCAGAAATGAACAAATGCCAAAAACAAATATTCACAGCATAGTAGATTGGCAACTAAAGAAACTCAAGTGTGTAGCCTAAAACATTCCAAATACTTCTGTTCACAAGTTAGGAAATGAATGGAGATCTTTAAAGTCAGGTTTATACACAATAAGTGAACCCAAATCACTCAACCTAGCAGAGACCCATCTTCCTGATAGGACAGAAGTAAAAGCACTGTTAAGTTTAAGTTCTGAAACTCTGACGCCACTGTGATTCATAATTGCAGCTGAAGTTATGGCAGCCACAGCAGCCCATGCATTTCAAGACAGCATCACTGTGAAATGAGGACGAGCCCATTGTGAACACTACACAATGAAGAATAAGAAACAGTTATGACTATCTGGCAACTACTCTCTTGTGAAGTTATCAGATTGACTCAGTAGAAAAGCCTTTGTGTACTGCATGCATCCTTATCAATTTTCTATTTTTATTTACTCAGCCCTGAGACCAACCTTATATTGAAAAGAAAAATGTTCGTTTCTGGTATTGAAATGAGTACCTCTGAGAAGGAAATCAAATAAATAATTGATTTATATTCCAGAACCATTTATCTTCATTGGCAGATAACTATATTACAGATATAAACCTCCATTTTTACAAAGTCAATATGCCTACTGGCTTAAATAAAAAAATATGGAATGAAGTTCAAACACACTTCCTACATTTTATGCATCATTTACTCAAATTTAAACAAAACCCATGTAACTTCCTTTGGAACATATTCACTCTGTTAAAGAGAGCTGAGTTTAAGATGATTATATTACAAGGAGAATAATGAATGGTATGATGTGTATACTGAATGTAGAAAATAACTCTTCTTACAGAAGATTAAGCTATCTATGTATTCCTCAAATCACCTATTCATGAAATATTCCAAGTAAACACATCATTGGTACATCTCACTAAATTTCAGTTACTTAAATTTAGTAGGATGAGTAGCTGTAATCTCACAAAACAAACGTTCATTGATCATTTTCTGTGCTTAGTGCCTTGTATTGTAAATTTCAAATAAGACAGTGCTTTACACAATTTGAGCCATACCATGTCATTCTAATCTTGCTGAAGATACAAAGATCATAGATAAAATGTACATATTTATGAATAGATCTGTGTATAGATGACTATAACTTTCATAAATAACATGATAAACATACATTTATAAGAAATTATGAGTTGTGCACCTAAAATTGTCAAATTGTTGAGATTTTCAGGTGGATTAACATAAAATATACATACAAATAATATATCTGAATGTAATGAAATGGGAATACAAGTAGGAGAAATAAGGATATGTTTGCTTATGACTTGGGGTTTTATAGAAATATTCCTCTACAGCACTGCATTTAAGATACTTCTTTAAGAATGAGTAGGACTTTAACAGAGATAGGATGGAGGGAACTATAGAATGAAGAATAATTCATTCAATATGTATTTGTTGAACACCTACTATGTGCAACACCAAGTTAAGCATGGACCTGGAACAGAGAAAAAGACAGGCATAACTGCTGATCTCCTGTTGCTTACCCTCCAAAGTACAGTGTTTAAATTGAAGAGGAGAGATAAGTTGTGAAAGGAGATATGATAACTGTCTCTTTTATGTATTAAAGATTAATAAGATGTTAGCATGTGACCAGACCTATTTTGTAAGTAACTTTATGACATAAGTAGATTCATAAAGTCAAGATAACAAAAAAGTGGTTACATTCAATTTAATGAAAAGCATGCCAACAATTCATCAAGTTTAACTTAAATGATTGTCTCAAAATTTCTATGTTTCTTAGACACAAAAGTGTAAAAGACAAGAGCATATGCACCAATTAATAAAATTTATACAAATCCTCCCTTATTTCCCTTCAAAATGTACAAGCAGCATTTCTAAATCATCTCCTTGTGTGACAGTGTCATGATATTTTAGTAGAGGTTCTGTGAAAAATAGTTTAGTTACCTAATAGTAAAAAAGGCTGTTTGACAGCAGAACTTTCTTAAGACTTCCTCATGCTAGTACACAACTGATATGGCCTGTATATTTATGTCATCCAAAATTCATATGTTGAAATCCTTACTTTCGAAATTGGAACAACTGAAATTTAGTGAGATATACCAACAATGTGCTTACTTGGAATATTTCATGAATAGGTGATTTGAGGAATATGTAAAGATAGCTTAATCTTCTGTAAGAAGAATTGTTTTTCACATTTAGTATAGATATCATACCATTCATTATTCTCCTTATAATATAATCATGTTAAACTCAGTTGAAATTCTCACTTTCTAGGCGATGGTGTTAGGAGGTGGGGGCCTTTAAATGATTGGATCATGGAAGTGGTCCTCATGAATGGTATTAGTGCCCTTATAAATGAGGTAAGGTACAACCTCTTTCTTTTCTACTGTACAAGGACACAGTAAGAGGAGCAGACCCTCACCAGACACCTAATGTTGTGGCACCTTGATCTATGACTTCCTGATCTTTAGATCTATGAGAAATAAATTTCTGCTATTTATAAGCTACCCAGTCTAATATATTTTCCTAAAGCCAGCCCAAATGGATTAAGACAAATTCATATTTTTTCCAAAATGGGAATATAGTTATTTGTAGTGTTTTATAAATTATTTGACCAGAAAGCTTTTGTTTTCTTGTTTTCCAAAGTAACATCTATTAAGAACTTAAAAGACACCAGTAATTCATTGAACACAGATAAGAAGAAAAATCCAATTGGTCTATCATATACAGCATGTGGCAGAGAAACTATTAGAATGATCTAGAATGTTTGATAAGGAACTAATTATACTGAAGAGTTTAAAGTCTTCCAAAGAGGATGTCCTTTATTCCAGGGACAAAGGGAAGCCATCCTAGAATTTAAAGAAGTAGAATGACACCACTTGGAGCTGTGCTTAAGACCCATAAATACCTGGGCAGTGGAAAACCGAGAGAAAGGCCAAGACCAACAATGTACATGGGGCACCTTAGTCTAGTAAAGACCTAAACTGGGGAACAGAAATAAGAATAAAAAACAAAATGATGATTTGAGAAGGTATTGGCAGCAAGTGATAATCACTGTTTGGCGGAGTGAAGGGTTAAAATGAAATGTCTATTTCTTGGTACTGGGATGGAGAAAAGAGGTATTAGAAATAGGAATACAAAATGAGAATAAATTTCATTGTTCCACTCCTGCAAAAATTGAGGATTTGACTGACAGTGTATCTGTGAAGGCTCCATGGCGAGGTATGGAGTAGAAGCCATTCACTTAAATTCATGCCCAATTATAGTTCTTCTTCTCATCAACTTTTTTTTTCTCTGCTAAGGCCCACCTTTTGCTAAGTGACCAAATATTAAAGACTTTCAAGAACAAAGGAATCAAATCCTAAGCACTGGCTTAAGACATTACGTTCAGGAATCACAAAGGCCTATGTGTAGAAAACTAACACAAGACAAAGAAGGCATAAAACAGCAGTAAAGATACAGAATTAGCTGGCATTTTGAACCAGGCTTTCTATTCCTGAGAAAAGGATGATTGTCCTTTTTTAGATTAACTCTTCTGTGTTTAGCAATTGTGGCAGAATTTAGGGAGATACTGGGCACAGGGCCAACAGCAAAGGTTTTGGAAACAGGGAGTCCTGGGTTCATATCCTAGTTCTAATCACCTCCTCTGTATGTGATTTGGGGAGAATTAGTTTATTTATCTTGTTGAGCTTCAACAAGATAAATCCCCCAAATCCCAAAAATCATTTCATAGGATTTTTGTGATGTCTAAAGGACATCATACATGTAAGGTGTTCTGTATGTGTCTTGGAACTCTCTTTATCATTATTGTGTTGGTCTTATTGACATTTTTTGCTAATTTGAGAATAATTAAAGATGAAAGGAGAAAATCTCAGGGATTATTAAAATTTCAAAACAACTGTGGCTTTCCAAACTCCCTTGCTTCTTTACAGAGGAAAAATATTTGCTTTTAGATGGGGGATCTTAGGTACCATGGAAACAAGAGTTGAAAAGACTTCAAGTAAATAGAAAGCAAGCTGCTGAGCCTGAGTTTTTCTTAAAAATATAACCATAAAATTTTGAGCAGATCAAGATTTGTATGGAATTTTGAAGGCCACATAGGTATGTATTACTCTATTACCAAATCAAGAGCTTGTATTGAACATTTCTAAACCACCTAATAAATGCTGCTTTCCCTTTACTGTTTCTTATATTATGCATATGCAAGAAATTTTGCAAGTATAGTTTAAATGATGGAAAGGCAAACAGTAACCATAATGAATGCTCTTTAATCAGTGCATTTCGTTATGATCAATGGTAGAACTTTGCTTAGTACAAATAACCATTCGTTTCATTCTTTAGAGTCAGAGAGATTTTTTTAACAGCCTGACAATTTAAAAGGAAGAATTTTTAAAAAATGACATTTTTAGTTTCGCTTTTTTAGTTTTGCTTTCCCAGTTTTGTGATTTTTTTTCAGTGTAAAGGTATGTTTGATAGAGATTTTAGTGAATGTAACTGATTTTTCTTCATCACAAGGCAATGTCTCTGATGGACACTAAATATGCTTGCAAGTGGTATTTCTAAGGGCAGAGGTATCTGTAAAAATGAACTTGTTTGCAATATTTTTTTTTATCTGTCCTATCATCTGAGAACAAACCTGATTTTTTAAATGCCCAGAAAATTTCTCTGATTTGTAATATATTTCAACACTGAATGTATTCTAATATTTCTTAATATTAAAATCACCAAGGCCCCAATAATACTATAGTCAGATTGTGTTAAGTGGAGAGCTGAGGATCAAAATTGTAGGTGAATTCAGTTTTATGCAAAAACTATTTAGATGCTATTCACAATATTTCTGATATCACAGAAAGATCAAAAACTTTAATACCAGAGACCTACAGATTTCCCCACAATATTTGTCCAGATTAGAGATTGATGAGAGCAGGAAAAGAGATGCAATAATGTGGTATGGGCTGATTTTCAGGTTTCATTATTTATTCTGAAAATAATATATTCTCAGTACTTAAAAAAATCAAACAACGAAAGTCTCTCTTTATCACCAGGATTCTAAGCTGTCAAGTGTTTGTTGCACATTTCTCTAGAAAATTTCAATGCATATATAAATACATTGTATAGCTTCTTTCTTTGCAAAATGGGAGCATATCACAAGAAATGTTCTGTGCATTGGTTTTCCTGCAAAATTTTATCTGAGAATTTCCCACAGCTTCACATGTGGAGCAACTTCAATGTTTCAACCAGCATCACAGTATTCCATCCTAAGGAAAAACAGTACCTGATATGCTACTGCAGTGGACAACTTGCAAGGACAAGCCTTTGTACAAATTTGTTTTTTTTTTTTTTTTTTTTTTTAAGTTTTTTTTTTTTTTTTTTTATTTTGTTTTATTTTTTAATTTACATATGACAGCAGAATGCATTACAATTCATATTATACATAGAGCACAATTGTTCATATCTCTGGTTGTATACAAAGTGTATTCACACCAATTTGTGTCTTCATACATGTAAACTTTGGATAATGATGTTTGTCTCATTCCACCATCATTTCTAACCCCATTCCCCCTCCCCTTCTCCTCCCACCCCTCTACCCTATCTAGAGTTCATCTATTCCTCCCTTGTTCCCCCTCCCTACTCCACTATGAATCAGCCTCCTTATATCAGAAAGAACATTCAGCATTTGTTTTTTTTTTTTTTTGGGGGGGGGGATTGGTTAACTTCACTTAGCATTATCTTATCTAACTACATCCATTTACCTGCAAATGCCATGATTTTATTCTCTTTTATTGCTGAGTAATATTCCATTGTGTATATATGCCACATTTTATTTATCCATTCATCTATTGAATGACAACTAGGTTGGTTCCATAAATTTTATTGTTAGATGGTTCCTAGACTGGAAATTACTCAGTGAAATGGTATGTATGTATTTCAATACTGGATGTATCTTTAAATTGGCTTTCAAAAAGATTGTATCAATTTACAACCCCATCAACAAAATATGCCTGTAATAAACTCTGTATACTAACAAATGTTTTAATCATGATAACATCTCTTTAGATGCTTAGTTGCTATTGGCATCTCTGTTCCTATATCTCCATGTTCCAACTCTCCTGAATCTTCCCTTGAGTTGCTGGTATTGTGTTATAGTTTAAAAAATGGCTATATGTTAACTAAATTAGCCCTTTGACTAATATACATCCACAGATATTAATAACTTTTTTTTTAACCTGTATCTTGGTTTTGCTTGAAGTATTCTTGCTTTGGATATTCAAGTTAAGTAATTAATGCATTCCTATACGACTTCTAGATTTTGTTGTCTTAATAAAAAAGGTTTGGAATACCACTGTTATGATTTAGATATGAGGTACCTCTCAAAAGCTCATGTGTAAAATAATTCAAGAATTTTCAGAGGTGAAATGATCAGATTTTGAGAGGTGTGGTTTAATCAATGGATTAATCCATTTATGTGATTAACTGGGTGGTAACTGTAGGCAAGTAGGGAATGGCTGGAGCAGGTGGGTCACTGAAGGTATGCCTTTGGGGTTTACATTTTGTCTCTGGTGAGAGGAAACTCTCTCTTTCTACTTCCTGGCCGTCATGTCCTGAGCTGCGTTCCTCTGCCTTGCTCTTCCCCTATAATGTTCTGCCTCATCTTGGGCCCAGAAATATAGATTTTGGTGAACCATGGACTGTACCTCTGAAACCATGAACCAAAATAAACTTTCTTCTTTAAGTTGTTCTTGTCAGATATTTTGGTCACAGTGATGAAAAAGTTGATTAAAACGATCACTGAAACCAACTGACCAATCAACAAATAGTCAAAAATTTCTCCTAGTTATGATGGTGATGATGATGATGATGATGACAATGATAACTTTAAGTCCTAATATCTAGAATCTATTTTAAAAAATAAGATAGAATACAAGCTTGCTTGCTTGCTTGATATTTTTATTTTTCTGCTTTCTGTTTCCTAACCTTGTCTCATCCATGCATTGAATAAACTCTTTTCCTCAGTGGCTGCAAATATATCTTTATCACATTCTGAAAGGCTTTAGGCATTTGAGAATTTTATCTAATTGATTTTAATCCATTAATATGTGTGTTTTGTCTTCTGCTAAGATCAAACTCACTTAACATCTTCAGATTTATAATATAATGATAAAAACCTGGGGTACCCTGATGACTCTACTATTTCAGAATTTCCCCAATTTTTTTTGTGTGAATTATTTTTCATACAATGTTAATGACCTTAAAGATTCATTTATAAATAGCAGAAATTTTAAAAATATTAATGATTTCTACTCAAGTACAATGTATATCTATTTATTTGAGTCATAATATTTTTTATTTTTTAATTTTTGGCTTCTGTGCAGAAAGAACTTAAAACTTTTCTTTTAGGCCCAGGATGTAACTCAGTATTAGAGTGCTTGATTAGCACGTGTGAGTTCCTAGGTTTGGTCCCAAGCACTAAGAGAAAAAAACAAAACAAAACAAAACAAATCAAAATGAAAAACTGTTTTTCTTTCCAAAATTTGACAAATGTCTGAACTTTATTCCAAGTAATATGTTTTATTACATTTTAGTTTGAACTGGCTCTCTGTACAAAGAAAAATTAATAGGTTATGCACATTTTTTATCAGCTACTTTTCTGTATTTCTGATGTTTTTCCTTTGAAATTAGACAACTTTTCCAGATAGGAAACCATACCACTTGTCATACATGATAATTTCTCACTTTTAAAATAATTTAGTCTCCTTAATTACTTGTGTTGTCTAATAACACTGGTTAGTAAGTTAGAATAATACCAAATAAGATAGGCATCTGCAGACATCTTTGTCTTTTTCCCAATTTTAGACCTAGGATGTGTCTAGAATATTAATTTTAGGATGGATGCTGGCTTTCTCATAGAGTTTCAAATGGAAACGAAACCCAACAGAAAACCATATTGCATTAGACTCCACCCCTGCCATCTTCAGAAAACTGTGTTAAAGCTCCCAAATCTCTTCTTCCTTCTCATCTATCCATCCTGAATTTGATTAGAAACATGTCATCTATTTTAGTTTATAGTAACTTTAAAAGGTAGTTTCAATCATTGGATACATGTAGTAACAATTACTTTTGTGTAGAAACATAGAAAACAAATGTTTTATGGAAAGAAACCCTGTGTGTGTTTGTATATGTGTTACCTACATAGCATGAAGTTGGCAGAAGTGCTGAATATCAAAGAAGTTTTATTATTATTTGTAATCTTTCTAAATAGGCATTTTCATTAATTTGGCAAAGACAAGTGTATAAAATAGGTTGTGAGCCTCATGTTAGCTTTTGTGATATCTTATCTTTCTCCTATCATTAAAAGCTTAGGTATCCAAAATCTTTACAAATAAATGAGCTGAAACAAATAAAACTCAATCCACTTGAGAATTTGTAGACATCTGGTGGAGTTATTTTCTGAGTAATTAGACCAAGAGGTGGGGCAATTCCCTGAAGTAAGCTACCCTACAATTGGATACCCAGCTATTCCTGCAGTCAGCAGCTTACATACAGTGAACATATTGATTCACAAATAGACAAGCAATTATGAAGAGTTGCCACCTGATTTCCAAAGACCCATTATGTTATATGAGTTTATGTTCCATATAAGTTGCCTTTTCTTAATTATCTCATAGTAAATTTTATTTCTTTATGTCCTATTAATTCAACATACTACTTTTGCTGTTAGTGATATTGAATGTAGATCCCCTTCATGCACCGGTCTGTACTTGTCTTTGGATAATCCAACTCTCAGGCACAAACATGACTTATTTACCATTTGGTTTTTGAAAACGTCAATCCATTTTGGTACATAGAGATATCTATGAAGGACAAGATGATATTTAAATGCTTCCACTTTTTTACCATAAAGGTAACTACTTAGCTTAGAAATGTTGGTGGATGGAGTCTTAATACTTAAAATATATGTCTTGGTACTAAAAAATCCTAGATATCGAAGGGATCTGAAAGGGATTTCCAAGGGATAGTCTCCCTACCGGAGAGCAAAAATACTCTAAATCATGAGGAATATATATACATATATCTTTTCAATTTAAGAACTGCAGGAGATTCCACAACTATCCTAAATTACTCGTTGTTTAGTAAAAAAACAAAACAAAACAAAACAAAAAACTGCTACTAAGAAAGTTTCCTTTATAGCCAATGTAAACTCGAGTTATTAAAATTGACTTTGTCCTTTCTATACCTTTAATATTTTATCTTTAAGGGCAATATTTATAGAACAGCAGAATCAGGAGTTTTAATCATTCCAGGATCCAAGTTTCTCTGATCAAGACCCACTCAGAAGGTAGCTCCTGCTCCTGGATCTCTCACTATGCCTGTTCTGTCACCCTCAATGTAACAACAGATAAGAATTATGGAGTCAGGATAAGTTCGTGTAAGTTATGGAGACAACATATTTTGATTCTACAACACTGACAGATTCTTTTAAAAATATAAGGGGACATTGCTTATGGATTAACACTTTCAGTGATGTCAGTAAAGTTGAACATGAGACTTAGGACCTTTAGATCTGACTACCACACAAGGAAAATTGAAAGACATCTTTTAATAGGGCATCCACATTAATTCAGTCTATTTATTCACATTATTTATCTCCTCAAGCATGAATAATGCTATAATTACATGCAGTCCAACAGGAATCGAGTCAAGATATATTCATCACAGTTTATTTTGTAATCCTTGGAATGAGATCACCAAATCTTAACCAAACCGACTCAAAACTTCTTCCAAGGGATAAAAACTCCATTTTTAATTTCACTAACTGAAATAACATTATGACAACAGGCCAGCGTAGGATCTTGCACTGCCGTCCAAATGCCAGTGAAAACTCACCAGAGGTTTCGTCCACTCGTTCATCTACTATGTGGTCCTTCTGATGAACCCACTCGCTATTGCACTTGAAGTAGATCTGGGTGGCAGGGCTGGCTTTACAGTACAGGTTCACAGGCTTATTCTTCACAATATAGGCTTCTTCTGGCTCAATGAGGAAATGTGGCAGAGGCTCAGGTGGATCTGATGGAAACGTTTCTGGGAGTTCATGAAAAAAGTCGTCATCTGTTAAGAAGAAAGTGGAAAATGGTCATAACATTCAGATAAATTGTGTTTTATTTTGCTATTCACTTTAAAATACTGACTTATAAATAATTACATGATTTGAAAGTCTACTACATGCCAGATATATCAATAGACTAGATGCTCAATTAAGGAGCTGCATTATTATACTCATAGCAAAACACATCATCAGGGAGAATAAACACCTTTCCCTCAAACCACAGACAGTAATTAGTAGAACTGGAATTGGGATTCAAGGCTGTCTAACACCAACACTGTGCTCTTCCCAATATATTACTACACTTCCCAGTATACAGTGTTACTCTCAATGAGAGTTGATAAAAGCTAAATGAACTTCATAAGAAAAATTTGTTTGAAAAGCACAAGGCTCAAATGAAAATCTTAAATCCTTCGCAAGACATTGAATAGACATACTAGAGACACAAACTAAGGATCTTTAGATTCAGTTTAAATCTATCACTATTTTCAAAAAATTCCACAGTGTGAAACATTATTCAGCCAACATATATTAATTAAACTCATAATTTACAAAGCATTGGAAATAGTAATGATAACATCAATTCAGAGGCACAGTACAGCCTAGAGTCTAGAAATGCTTTTTGGTCTTATTTTAAAATTACACTTCAGACCTTATATGGTGTTATGTGACTGGGAAAACCTGTTCTCATTGGATTACTGAGGATTTTTTGTTTTAAAGAAGAACAACACACTCATTTTTATGACACTGAAAATTATCAAACATATTGCTCCTGCCCTGATGTTCCAACACCATTGAATAAACACAACTTAAAAATCCCTTGAGATATTTGTTCACTTTGAGTTTTTTTTAAACTTGGATTCTGCATGATTCTAAATAAAAAAATCATAAAAGTGATTTTTTAAATAAAATCTATCACATTTAACAAAAGTCAAGGTAAAAAGAGTCTTTTCAATATATTATAAATAAATTAAGCTTGATAATTATCTTTTTTTTTTTTTTTGGTACCAGGGATTGAACTCAGGGGCACTCAATCACTGAGCCACATCCCCAGCCCTTTTTTGTATTTTATTTAGAGACAGGATCTCAATGAATTGTTTGGTGCCTTGCTCTTGCTGAGGCTGGCTCTGAACTCCATCATCCTGCCTCAGCCTCCAGAGCTGCTGGGATTACAGGCCTGCACCACCATGCCCGACTGATAATTATCTTTTTTATAAGAAACAGAGAAAAACAAAACTATTTTTATTTTCCTAAACATGCTAATCTGTAGAGGGACAAAACTCTCAGATCAAAATTTAAAAATAAATTTAAAAATTTTTAAAAATCCTTAGCACTATATATATTCAGTAGCAAAGACAAAATATGGTTCTGGTACTTAAAGACTGGTTGCTTAGATGTTACCTTGAAACTCTTTTTTTTTGTCATTCAGTTGTTGCCCCATTTTGGGAGATGGCCATTGGTGAAGTGAACATCTGTCTCCTAAGAACCTGGTCGGGGACATTTTTCATCTAGATCATGGGATAGCTGTCAAATAGTAATGACATCCAGTTTCTGCTAATCTCTTCTGCAGTAAAAGTTGGCTTCACTTGCATCACGGGCAGAAGGAGTTTTCAAAGTAGCTCCCCCGACTCTGGCATGTAAGTGATGTTTCCTATAGTTTTCTTTCTTTCTTACTTTACCTCCTTTTGTTTTTTCTAGTTTTTTTTCTACTGTTGAACAACAAGGAGCCAAATTGTCAGCTTACTAAAGAATAACCTTGTTTCTATCAATTCAGCTCCTTTAGTCAATATGTAGGAACAATCAAGACTGCTTAAATAAACGTAGCTCAGAAAGGCAAAAGGATGAGGAACTGAGCTATTGAAGGATCCATCACCACAAAACTATTGTCCTGAAGGCCCTATTTTTCTTCAGCTGAAGCACTTCCTGTTATATATGATGACTGACAGGGCTGATAATCAATAAAGCACTGCAAAATATAAAACTCAAATTCTACACAAGGTTGGCTTTTGTTTTTAATTATTATTCATGGAGACAGATGGTAAACTAGACTTCATTTTTTTTTTTACTGTCAGTATGTATTTGTATACACAAAACATGTGAAAGCATTTAATAATTATGTATTTAAGTATGCAAATTATAAAAAGGCTTTCAGCTGTGGTTTTAAATTAGTCTTATTCCTTTAAAAGGAATTATAAGATATCAGAGGATCATGTATTACATTACTTTATTTAATAATGTAACACAGTATTTATAGGTTCATATTCTATGGAAAGACTTTATAGAGACACTAAAAATTGATTTCTATGTCCTGCTAAAAATGTGTATCTTTTTTATTCTGATTATTTTATTGTAAACTACTGAGAAAACTAATGAAGATAAGAAAATCACACATATATTTTCAAGTAACAAGAGGCTCTGTTAAATGTGATGGGGGGGGAAATAAAGATTTAATAATATCATTATAAAACATATGATCAAACTAACTTTGCATTTCCTTAATATTTAGTTTTAAGATGATTGTGATAAGAAGAAATAAATCTATGTCTTGGTTTGAGGCTTCCCACAGTATTGATTTTCCAAAGCACTTTTCAACACTTAAAGTGAAGGTTACTAAAAAATGATTTTTATCATTAGAAATGTTTTCTTCGTGTGACAAATTTAATGTTTTCTTTTTTTACATATTATTCTAGATTCTACAGAACCCACCTCTTAATATTGCTCTAGAGAGCTGTTCTCGCCAATAATAGCATAATAGTCTATTAATATTTTCTACAAAATTTATTCAATAAGCTACAGCCTTGGATTAAGTAACATTAAGTGATATGGCATGTCACTTCTAGTACTCAATTTAGGTTATAGAAATAACATTAGTAAATAATATTCAAGACAGTAGATACGGATAGTGGGATAAATATGACAAAATACAAATGGGATGATTACTAATGAGCTCACAAGCTATTGTGAATATTCATTTTGGAGCTTATTTGGTATTTCCAAGTTTTTTATAGTGATTGACTGTTTTGTAGAAAACATGGTCTTGCAGATGCCCATCCATGGAAATGATCCAAAACAAGTAAATCCCTATCTGCTGAGTCTAACTCTTCCAGGCCACTAGAGGACTGTTAAATACATGGCAATCAGAAAGTTTGAGATTCTACCTTGAGCTGATTTACTGAAATCACTTCCTAGCATGCAATTCATTTTACTATACCAGCAAACCAGCTTTCTGAAACTAATAAGGTCATGCTGCAAAAGTTGAAGCTATGAAAGAACAATTTTGATATTTCTAAACAGGGAGATCAGTGAGTGAATCTTCTTACCACTTTATTTCTTAATATAAATATCTGAAAAAGGGATCAGTGTGACAATAGGAACCCAATTTTCAAACAGCAACTTCAGACTGTGAACTTATTTCTAGTGACATACTACAGTTACCCTAAATTATTTTATTTTATAAAAATGTATACTCTGCTGCCGATATTAATTGCATTACTCTATTTAGGCAAAATGATTTTTTAATAGTAAGATTGCTAAAACGTTTTCTACATTTAGTTCATTCAAACTAACAAAGGAAAAATCTCTGAAGTTGCTTTGGTTCTGAACACTGAATTCAGTATCAACTCAAAGCTATAATTTCCTTTTTTTTGATGGAGATATAACATTATTATGAATTTTGCTATCCCCTACCATTTGACTTATTTTTCACATTCTACTATTAGTTAATAATGACATTGCAACAGTAGTGCCATTCTTATCTTGATATCAGTAAATCCCAGTATTTCCTTTTCTGTTATCTCATAGGGGCATTTGATTTTTCATTTATATACAAGAAGAGAAAGCTTTGCACCATGTATTATTTTTATAGACTTTCATTCCACCTAATTCTTGACAGGAAAATATTATGCTATGAACATCAATCTAGGAAGCTTTAGGTTGCTGGTTTTATTGCTATATATCAAGCTTTAATTTTCATCAACTTAATACATAAGTTTCTGTATTTCTGAATCATAAGACTTAAACTATTATTGCTTATATCATAAAATATAGGACCATTATCTCTTTGTCTGAGACTTGAAGCGTATTCTTCTGAAATGGAATTTACTTCCAAATGATTCAAGAGCAATTTAAAATGAATGACTGCAAAGCTAATTTTATCTGCATTTGGCTACCCATCCATCAGAGAGATAATTCATGATATATTACCACAAAAGGCAGCTGGAATTAACTATCTGAATGAGACTCAGCTTATTTTTAATATTTTGATTAAAATATCCTTTGGAAGACAAAGACTATGGTCTATATTTCAAGAAACATATTACTGAATTCATCATTTAAATTCAAGTACTTGAATATATAATGCCTTAAATGTATTGCACAATTTGGAAGTACTGAATGATTTTTAACTTCAAAGAAAAAAATCTTTATTTTTTGCTTTTAAAGAAATATTTGGCAAATGATGTCAATATATTACCAATTATCACTATTAATAATCTAGTGATAAAAAGTTAACATGCCATTCGACATATAGTTGCTCTGGAATAGATACCTCCTTCTGGCCCAATATAAGCCTTCATGATATTTGACCTTTTATTTATTTATTTTTTCAATACTGAGGATCAAACCCAGGGCCTCATGCATGCTCTGCAGGCACTCTACCACTGAGCTATATCCCCAGCCCCACATGATCTCTGACTTTTACTAATATAGAATCTTCCTGTTCTCTCAATTATCATCTTTATTTCTGCCATGTAGTAGAGTACTGTGTTTAGAGGAAATTTTCAAAAACACTTTTGTTTTCTTTTCAAATAACAGTAAATGTAATGTAAAGCAAGAAGATAAGTTTATTTTCCTTAACAGATTAACTTAAAATATTGAATGATAAGGAAATGTGCTTTTGCATATTCTGGCTAGTATATAAATGGGTATTACATTAGAGAGAAACTGACAATATAAGTAATAATTAAATCTCTACATTCTTCCAAATTGGCTATCTCACTTCTTAGAA